CCCCCCCACCCCCGCCCCTTCCCCCCTCCCACCCGCCCCCACCCCCCCAAATCCGAAGCCGAATTTATCAAAGTCGCGGAGTGGATTTTGTGACAAGAAGAAGTGGTATGACAGGACGAACGTACCGTAAATATCGAGTAAAACGAACGTGCTCTTAAGGTTGGCAGCAGAGGTGGTTGGTAGGGGGGGGGGGCGCCTACTACTACTACTACTACTACTACTACTACTTGCTACTACTACCACTACTACTACTACGACGACGACTACGACTACTGGTACAGTGTGCCGGGCAACCAGAACAATTATTTGAGCAAGTTTGCCACGCAATCTTGCCCCAGTTGCCCGACTTGCCCGCTTGTCCCACTTGGGGCGGGGGAGGAGCAAGATTGTCGGCATTCTGGCAACCTTGGTCTACAAGGTAAACTAGTCGGCGAGCAAGTGGGGCAAGATGACCAAGATCGCAAGATGGACCAAGATTGAAAGATTGAAGGCAATCTTGCTTTTGCCCAGGATTGACCAAGATTGCCAGATTACCAAGATGTACTTTCCAATTAATTGTTCTAGATTCCCGGCACACTGTACTTGTACCACATACCACTACCACTGCCACTACCACTGCCACTGCCATTTCCGCTAGCACTACTAGCCACCCCCGCCCCCTACCAACCACCTGGCGCCTCAATCTACCACTATCATCGATCATCATCATCCATCATCATCCTTCATCATGCATCATCATCTTCTTCTTCAACCGCAGCAGAGAGAGAGGTCTCGGCTTGCGTGCGCCTGCAAGAGCTGAGCTCTCGGTCACTTGGTGTGACGTGGCACAACTCCCGTAAGGGCGGGGGAACAAACGCGCCTCAGCGCCTAAAGATCCAAAGATCATGATCAGCCTAGCTGATCCAAACCTGCCGGCTTTTGCGGCGGTTTCAAAGTCGTTCTCGACTGATTCATCAGTCGTCCAGCATCTCCAGCTGTACAGCTTGAGGAGTTGTCTTGAGCGCTGTAATCGTTGGCTGCATCTGGGCGTAGTTGGTGAGATGCTGAAGCTGGAGTTGGATGTCAGTTAACAGCTTCATCTGCATGTCCATGCTCTGCTGGAGCATTTCCAGCTGGGCATCTCTGGTGTGGAACTGTAGACGCAAAAGATGAAGGTCGTGTTCCACTCGCAAGACGCTTTGCTTCAGTTGCAGCTGGGACGTCGCTGGAGTGGCCATGATCTACAGTAGGAGACTGCTGGCTTGAATGAATGGCTACTTGATGCGAGTGACTCAGCACGATAAGCAACAAGTACATACTGGTAGAAGCTTCCTCGAGCTGATCTTCATCTGCTCTTTCGGCGGCTCTGGCATCATCGAGGATCCAGTAGTCTGACCCCGCGCTCACTAGAGTTCGGTAGTGACCTGTCCAAAGATGCTCACCATGATGCATGACACACGCCAGGAGTCGGTAGGGCACCCACCGCACATCCAAAGTCCCGGTGCCCCCAAAGCAAGCAAGGAAGGAGCAGCTCTTTCGGAATGATGTAGGCCTCCGTGCTTTTACCGGGCCCATGTGGGGTGGGCCCATGTGGGGTGTTAGTTGTCCTAGGCAATTGCGCAAACAACCAAGGTGGAGGCTCATGCATGGCATACACAGAGGATTGCTGGTGCCAGCGTTGGATTAAGGATTGTATGTCAGGTCCTGAGGGATCAACGGAGCTGAGGGTGAGGCATGAACGCAGCGTGCCTTCATCCGTCCGTCGGAGCTCTCCCTGCACCCATTGGCAAGCGCTCCACGTGTAATGTTTATGGTATGATACTAATTTGGGAAGCAAGAAGTCGGCTAGCTCTGCTATGTCGTGCTGTTGATGAGGCCTGCGCCACCCCATCATGAAAAAGCCAAGTTCTCGCATTGCACTCAGTGGCGCCGACGGAAGGGTCCGGAAAACGACTGGGAGGAATTGCCTGTGCAGGCTGGCTTCCAGCACAGCCAAGCAGTACACTAGGGCGTTAAGGTAGCAATGGTTATGGGGGTTTTGCAGGGTGAAAGTGGGGAGGGGAGGGTGAAGGAGGTGGCTAGGGTTGTGATGCAGGGCTGGTCTAGGGACAGTGGTAGCGGAGCTTTGGGCATCACTGGGGATATGAGCGGCTTCCGGCTGATTAGTATTGGGGGAGGCTCCGGGGGATGCTGGATTTGCGCAATGATCAAAGAAGCTTCGTATATCAGCAGAACGGGTTGTCTTGGCAGAATCCGCATGTTCCCGCCTGAGTAGACAAGCTGGGCCAGCTGCACGGCTTGCGGTTGGCGCGGTCGGTTGTCCTTTTTCATGGACATTCCAATCAGACTGGTGACTGAGTTCCCCATGATCTTGCCGAAGTTGTGATGCACATCGTCGGCCGTGGAGCTTCTCAATGAGATGCCCAGGTCGAAGGTCGCCTGTGCATGACCTTCTTCTTCGATCCGCCACATCGGTGCTTTGGATTTGAAGTGGTGAATGATCTCGCCTGTCATACACGCCTGCAAGTCCGTAATGATTCTGATCATCTCGTCGTGGGTCAAGGGGGCCCGCGTGGAGTCCACTATCAAGCGTCGCTGCTGGGAGCTCCACTTGAGATAAACCCAGTAATCGTTCTGATCCAACCAGCCGATTTTCTTGAGGTCCTCTCGGCCCGTTTCCGTAGACACCACGCGTTGGGTCCTGTGGAGGAGTTCCTTCAACAGGCAGTTGATCAGCACTGTGCGAAGCGGGGAAGCAATCCCCGAGTCCTCTGTCGGGTGGGAGACCTTGGCTCGCCACTGTTTCGCCACCTCCATCAGGTTGGGGAGGATCGACTTGTCGTCCTGACGGAAAAACATGATGTAGCCCGTATCCTTCCGGATCTCGGCCAGGGCCTCCTCGTGTTTGAGCACCAGCCTGGAGAGGATGTCCACCTGATGATCCTGCGTCGGTGGCGCCTGTAGATGTTGCTGGGGTTGCCATTGGGGATGCAGTGGTCCTTGCTTCTGCCATCCCCCGTGTTGGCGTTGCCTCTTCTGCGCGGCTTGCGTCCTGAAGGCCTGGGCCGCCTGCTGCATGGTTTGTTCGGGCTGCTGTTCCTTCTGAGGAGGAGCGAAGATGTTGGCCTCCAGGTCGGCTTGGGTCATCTTGAAGATGTAGACCTTGCTTGCAGTATTCAACACCGATGAGGAGTTGGTTCAAGACTGCACACTGTGTGGAGTGGCGGCCCGGGGCCCCCACAGTGCTGCGGCACCACCGACAGGATCTACCCCGAGCGAGGTGGCTTTTAAACCCCTGGCTAAGCCTTAGAGCAGTGGGAAGTATGTCCGGATGGTGTTGGTGGCGGACCCTATTGTAGTGCTGTCGGATGTGCAATGTCTGCAATCCACATGTTGCACAGGACGCAATGTGCTGAGGAGAGCCTTGGTGTCTGGGCAGGAGAGAAGTTTGTCCCAACGCATGAGATCGTTCTGAAAAGATGGTCGCAACACGAGTGGCAATGCATCCGGCAAGTTTTCTCCCTGCGCAGGGGTGGCGGTGTCAGTTGAGGGGCGCACTGCCGAGCTGGGAAGAAGCCTTAGGGTGTGATTGTCGGGCTTGGGTGGGCTTAGCTTATGGCTGTGTCCTCCAAGGACCGGGCAGGATCGGCGCTCAATATGCAACCTTAACTGTTGCCAGCGGGCAAAGTTCCGAAGGCACAGTTTGCAGGTCGGCATCCTTGCGATTGAGTGCTGCACCGCATTGAAAGGATGAGCGGCAGGCTCGGATTTCGGTTCCTCTGGATGATGCAAGGCAAGATGGATGCGGAGAGCATGCTCCGAGATTTGCGCGGCTTTGCGGTGGGGGCATACAACTGTCGCCTCCTCTACAGCCATCGGCTGCGCCGCGCGCAGTCTCATGTCCGCTTCCAGGACCTGTTGCAGACGTTCCTGCAGGCGGCACAGTGTAACCAAAACCTTATCATTGGCAACAATGTGTGGGCCGCAGTCCTTCAGTAAGCGCCGTCTGCTGGTGATGATGTTGTCTAGGCGGGAAATGAGAAGTTGCGCGGGCGTACGTAGTTTCGTGGCCGACCATATTGCTTCATTGCTAATGTGAATAAGGTGTGCGGGTTGTTTGAGGATGGCGCGGAGATGGCGGGTGGTTAGTACCACGAGTCTTGTTGCCCCTGCCGTGGTGCATCCTACGACCCCTAAAGAGTACAGGAGGCTGGGTATAATACAGGCTGACCAAAGACGAAGCTTATGTCTGGTGGAGAGTGGTCCCCGTCCATTAAGTACTGTTCGTATAAGCTAAGCTGGTACTTGTGCTGGGCTGATTCAATGCGGTGTGTGACATTGGAGTCAAGTCTGCCCGCATAGCTCACAACAGTGCCAAGATATACATGTGAGGTACGGATGCAAAGGGATTGCTCTTGTCCCAGAACCTGAAGCCTGAGATAGGTCTGGCCTTCCTTTTTCGAAGGTGTGCTGCTTTGATAGTTTGGTTGCCTCCTTACCTTTTAGCGTAAGCAGAAGTATGCATCATCATCATCATCATCACCATCATCAACCATCATCATATAAGATGGTCCGCCATCACGAAAGTACTGTAAATGCCGAGTAAAACGGCTCTTGTGGAGATATTGTTCGGGGTGTCTGTGTACC